AGAATATCAATAAATGTGGAAACGGTGACTCCTGGCATTGTTGCTAATCATTAATATTGCATTGATGCATCAATATACATCAATACTTGGTTGCTGACAGATTAACTATGGGAAAGCTAGCGATTATTTTTAAGATTCAGGATTATCAGTATAATTAACAAAGGGGTATTAAGATTATTTTAAATAAGACAATTATACATCACCTAAAAATACTTAAAATTAGTCCCTTTCTATGCATGTGGAAAATTAGGCTCAGCAAAGTTAAGAAACTTGCTCAAAGCAGCATACTCACTCCAGGGCCTACAAATTCTGAAATACAGAAGGAATTAAAATGCTTGCTTGCTCTTACATTTTTTTACATAACGAAGGTTACTTATTCCTACCTTATCTGTGTTATCTTGCTTTTGTTTTTCCTTTCTCAATGTTAGCACTATTTTAAAGGTGAAAGTTCCTTCCCTAGTGAAAAGGCATTTCTTCCTAGCAAAGCCCATCAGGTTGGGCCATTTTCATTGTACTCTCACTACATGGCAGTTTGTCTTTGGGAAGATCAAATTTAAATCTCATTTTAACTGGTCTTTTTCTAAATCACCACTGGAATAGACTAGGAACCAGAAGGAGTGGCTCTGTGATGGGAGTGGTGGGGCTGGAGGCCAGGGACACAATGGAAGGGAGCAAAAGTCTCCCCAGGTAGCATTTCAAAGGCATTGATAAGTGTTTTGTTATAAGAAAAACAATTGGGAGTCCTCTCCTTCTCTCCTGTGATGCCTAAGCTGCTGTTGCTGCAGAAGCATTTTGACTACGTAGTCACTCAGGTCAGGGTTGCACTGTGGTTTCCACCTTCATCCAGTTGTCAGGAAGACAAATCTGTATTTTGCAGTCATTGAGCTATGCTAGATATTTATGATTGCATGGTTTTGCCCTTGAATTGTACCCATAAATTGAAAAGGGTGCTGCCTCATGCCTGTAATCCCAGTACTTTGGCAGGCCAAGGCAGGCGGATCATCAAGGTCGAGAGTTCAAGACAGCCTGACCAAAATGGAGAAAACCCATTTCTACTAAAAATGCAAAATTAGCTGGGTGCGGGGGTGCATGCCTGTAATCCCAGCTACTCGGGAGGCTGAGGCAGGAGAATTGTTTGAACGAGGAGGTGGAAGTTGCAGTGAGCTGAGATTGTGCCATTGCACTCCAGCCTGGGTGACAGAGCAAGACTCTGTCTAAAAAAAAAACAAAAAACAACAACAACAAAAAACCCCAAACTGAATAAAGGTCATTGAGCCCGTGGTTTTCCAATCCATTTTTTGTGTGTTTGTAGCATAAAAACTCTTAAAATTCTTAATTGCAAGCCCAATAACAAACCAACAGACTAGGCGCAGTGGCTCACATCTGTAATCCCAACACTTTGGGAGGCTGAGGCGGGTGGATCACCCGGTCAAGAGATTGAGACCATCCTGGCTAACATGGTGAAACCCTGTCTCTACTAAAAATACAAAAAATTAGCCAGGTGTCATGGCACATGGCTGTAATCCCAGCTACTTGGAAGGCTGAGGCAGGAAAATTGCTAGAACCCAGGTGGAGGGTGCTGTGAGCCGAGAACCTGCCATTGCACTCCAGCCTGGGCAACAAGAGCTAAACTCCGTCTCAAACAAACAAAACAACAAACAGGAAAAGAGGTACTGCTCTAATGCAGCTCCTAGGCTCTCTTCTCAGACACTGATTGTTTCCTTGGAGGCTGGTATAAAAACTATTGTTATTGTTCTACCCTTTCATTTTATAAATTCAGTAAACAAAAATATTTTGAGCAAATATTGTGTAGCAAGGAGTATATTATGTTTGAGAAAAACACTGGGCCTAAAATGAGTATAAATCCAGTCCCTAGCTTATCAGAGGAGACAGAAAATTACAACATAGTAAATTCAATGACACAAAAGTACCCTGTGATACTATAAAAGTACGGAATGAGGGTTCCCTAATTCTGTCCAGGGACGTTTTCTGAGCCTGAGTGTCTAAGACTGAGCAAATTAGCAAGGAAGCCTCTTAGCATGGGTGTGGGGAAAGAGTATAATTCACACTGAAGAATGGAGTAGCTAAGGTGTATTCTGGAAGATACCCCAGAACAAGTTGGAAGTGGTTTTATGTAGTAGACTGTGAAGTGGGAACTGGTGAACAGGTGGACATAGAAGGCCCTGAGCCTTGTCTTGATTCTTGAGAAGACAGGTAGTTACTGAAGGACTTTAAGGAGGGAAGCAACAAGGCCAAGTTGGAGTTTTAGATTAACAGGAACCATACATTTAATAAGAACAATGAGATGCAGGAGAACCTGTCAGGACAGTATAGAAACTCTCTAACAGACTATAATAGCAGAAGCAAGTTATCTTGAGGTTCCAGGGTCAGGTAAACATGCCCAGTAAGACTGGATCTTGAATTTGAAACCTTGGGGTTTCTAAATATACACTATAATCTCATATACATAGAAGGGGATTGGAGAAAACACGGATTTTGGAAAAGGCTATCTGATCTGTGGTCAATTCTTTTCTCAATACTTTTCTGTACCATGAACATATGTTTATTTTATAACCAAGCAAAATGACGATTATTTTAGATTTATCTTTTAAACTATGTTTTCCTTCAATTTTCTTTTTTAACCAAACTGGACCATACCATATATAGAACTTTCTGCATTTTTCACTAAAACTTTGAGAACAATACTATGCAGCCAGTGAAATCATGCGTTGAGTAAAGACATATGCAAGTATTGATCAGTCTTCTTACACTAAACATCATTATGTGGTTTTCTTGGATCTTGTGTGGATACAGTAAAAGAAAAATTTTGAGAATAAGCCAATGTTCACAGTATGTCAAGTGCTCTCTTGAATGGAATAACTGCAGGCAACCCAAATGCTCTCTCAACCACTAGTGGTGGTAGAACAAATGCAAAGCTGGTACTCATAGTGACTCAGGAGTGTAGCATTCTTCTGTACAGGCTTTTCTGATAGTGCCTAGGAATGATGCTTTTTGCTTAAAAACAGGAAAGGTGGGTGGTCTTTATTTGAACTTTATTGCCATAGCCAAATAGATCATAATCTGTGATTAATATCATCTAGCAAGTTGAAAGCTGACCCTAATAAAACAGATTCTCAAAAGCTATCTTTTAAAGCATCTCCTACTTTAGAGGAATTAAAATAACTCATTCAATATCATTGCTACAATACTGCATGACTCTCATTTTCAGTACGCTTAAATTATGTTTTATAAATTCTTTACTGCACAATTGCCCACTTATTCTGATCCATAAAAGTTCTGTAGTCACACTGTTAACATGTTAATGGCATATCTTACTAGCAACTTGCTGCACTTCTGTTATCAATAGAGGTTAGGTGAAATACTTGGATAAGGACAGCCTGATTCAATATCGAGTTTTCTACAGAACAAAGTATCTCCCAGCGCTAATTCAGCAAATTACCTTCGAGAATGTGGGTAAAGTTAGGTGTAATGTTGGATTCTGCAGCTCTACCTGCAGAAAGGTAGACAGAATTACTGTCAGGAAACAAGCAGTCTTAGCACCATAGTCAAGGTTTTAAAAACTGGATCTATAACTGTATGGGTTCATTTCCTAATGCAGAGAAAACTGGCTAGTACACACAGTATAGATTTAATGTGGAAAATATTCCATCTTGGAAATGCTACCCAAAGATAAAAATCTAAAGACTATCAAAATTTGCTGTTTTCTAAGACATGTATTAGAATTTCGTAGTCTCCTGAATGACACCAAATCAAATGAGGGGAATCAGACCAAAATTACCTAAGGCCATTTCAAGTACCTGACAAAGGCAGACAACATTAACTTGAAAAATTAGCATTTCTCATGTTCCTGATCATAACAATTACCTGAGGCATTCCTTACAAATAAAAACTCTGAGACTCACTCTCTTTAATTATGGCTCAGCAGGTGGTAGGTCTGGATTGAAGGCTAAGAATCTGTACCTTAAGCAATTCTAATAATCAGGCAAGTCTGGAAAACAGGGCTAAGTGGGAGTGTGTGTGTGGGGAACAGAAACAAGACCAGCACTGCTCTGGTTCCCTCATTCAAACACTGCCTGACAAACTACCTGGGAATGACATTCAACCGAAGTTGAGGAATTATCTACAGAACACTGTTTATTTCAAGTCCAAAACACAAATTACTCATTTTTCTTAACAGACCACATAATTTTTACTGCATGTATATTTAGGGTTTCTCTAGTCACAAGTACAGTTCATTACTACACTTTAGGCTCAAATGATTCATATATAATCAGTTTACTGCAGAGGACATATACTTTTAACAAAATTTGTTTAGAAAATGTTTACATAAAAACACACAAAGCATTTACCAACACTCCACAACCAGTCTTCAGCAAAGATTTGGCTAAAGATAACTTCCTACAAAACACTCCAAGACCAAATAGAATGTAGTATTTCACATACTTTAGTTTATTGTTGCAGTTAAAAGTTACCCCTTGTTTGATGGCTTCTGCATAGATCTATAAAGCAGAAGTCTTTAACTGGCGACTTGTTAAATTTGTCTTTTTAAGTGAACTTGTCCCCAACCCAGAATCTAAGTAGTCATAATGAAATCAAATAACTGACATATGTGGGGCTTTTTTTAACCTAAGAATAATTTAATGTCTATCAGTATAATATTTTAATGTCATGTGTTCAGTAACTACCACCTGGAGTGCGATAATCTAGTATAATCAGTTGGCATCAAAATATAAAGTAAAAATATGTACACTTTAATATACCAATTCTTACCTGAATAACCTCAGATCTCCAGAGAATGTTCCACAAAGTGGAATTTCTTCCTAAAGTTATGCTGAATGTGGTACAGTGTGTACAACTTGGTTAACCAGTGTCTGCTTTTCATTTCCAAGATTTTCCTTATCTTGAATCAAATGCACAATCTTACAACTGTATCATAATGCACTGGCTTAGTGTTTTATATAAAGTCCAACTCAAGCTTATTTTGGTTTATTGTACATGCTTTATTAAAATGGTACTTGTATTTACAGTATCTGCAGAAAGAGTCCCTTCCAAGGCGCTCTCACACACATTCAGACACACCCACACAGACATCCACTCCACAGCCCCATGCACCCACACCAGTGAGATATGGAGGGTCAGACTCCTAAAATTAGGCAGCTGTAGGGGATAAGAACTGATTTGTTTTTCAATTTCTTTGAAAAGAGAAAAGCACAGGGGGAATGCATTTGGCCATTACAATGCTAATTAAGTTTGTGTATATTACATATATGGCAGTTAACACTGAATATTCCTTTTACATTCTATATATACAGAATGATATCAAGGTTTTGTAGTCAACAGAATATTCCAACTTCAGTCTTAATGCTGCTTGTAGTGACTTCTGAATTCATAATAGGGGCTTTCCCTAAAAATAATTCAAGTCTATGTTAAGTGAAATAAGGCACAATTAATATTGATTTGATTGAGGGGAAGGGAAGGAAAGAGAAGGGATAAAAACTGGTTTCAAGTGATCTTTCTATTGGGGAACTAGTTCTGACTTAAACCCACTTGAAATTCCTCCTCTTAATTTCCAAAGATTTCTTAGAAATAAAGATATTTTTCTTTTCTCTGATGAAGCCAAAAAAGACAGTTTGGGAATTTACATTTTAATGTTTCAGTAGCCTAAACTACTCAAATTGTTGTGTATCCCCGCCACCTCCCCTGCTCCGGTCTCCTGCCTCACCAATGGTAAAATAAAAACACAGTATGCGACATAGGAGTCCCTTGAAGTTTCTTGAGATTTGTACACTTGAGTATCAAATACATATCTGGTTGTCTTCAATATATTTTAACAGGAAAGAAAAAGGAAGGAAGGAAAGAAGGAAAAAAGGAAGGAAAGAAAAGAAATAATCCTGTGACTTTCTTGCTCTTAAAAAAAATCCCTGTCTCTTTCTTTTCAGGATGATGAAGCCCCACTAGACAGTACAAACAACTGCAACAAATGAATTGGCAGCATAAATAATGTCTAGTATTCAAATCTTCATAGTGAGATTCATTTATCTTGTACACAATTTGTTGAATGTTTTTCGCAGCAGGTGAATCAAACCCAAAGATGCCGGACATTCTGTGAAAGGGAGTAAGAATTGCAGTTCTGAAGGCCCCTGACTTTGGTTGTTTACAAAGTTCAATCCTGTTTATTGTGATCCTTGGTATCTTCTTCATCTGTATATTCTGAGGGTTCTTCCCCTGGTTTTAGGAGTCTGCCTACATAATCATATTTTTCTGAAAGACACATCAAAAGAAAATCAGTGGAGATCAAATCCGTTTCACTATTCCATTATACAGAGAAAAGGCACTTGTTTTAGAATTACATAGACTATGATAATGTTAGAATATTATCTAAGTACGATTCTAAAATTGCTTCACCATGGTTGGTCTTTATACACATGTAAATCTTGAACAAAAGAAAACAAGACTAGAGAACTAAATTAGCCAGGTGTGGTGGCGTACGCCTGTAATCCCAGCTACTTGGGAGGCTGAGGCAGGAGAATCGCTTTAACCCAGAAGGCAGAGGTTGCCGTGAACTACAATTGCACCATTGTACTTCCAGCCTGGGCAACAGAGAGAGACTCTGTCTCAAAAGAAAAAAAAAAAACAGAAAGAAAACAGGATTAGGGAACTTAGTAAGGTGTGCAAATTCTTTGCAAGAGGGTGTTATCTGTGGTTCTTAGTTGGATACTGCAACAGAATCACTTGGAGATCTTTTTAAATAATGAAAGTCCAGGTCCCATCCCAGGACCCAGCTCAGGCTCTTGGGTTAGACCTGGGGACATATACTTTAAAGCTGGTCTAACTTTAATATGCACTGAGTCTCAGAATAACTCTTTAACTCTTAACAGTCCAAAATGTTATGATTAAAGACACTAGTTGGCAATGTAGGGAACTTCCAACAGTTATTTAAAATCTATAAATATATTGGACTTTGCATACAAGCGAGGAAAAAAAAAATTAGGGCTAATATTTTGGAGTAGAGAAGACCATGAAAAAGGAAATGGTGACTTCCTTGGGGCTGAAGAAAGGGTGGAAGGGTGCACAAGGTGGAGAATCAATGGTTGAGGAGATCCAATTGGGAAATATTCTTGGGGAGAAAATGTGACATATACTAGCAGTACTCAAGAAAATAAACTAAATGAAGAGATAAAAATTTATTTGTTACTTGTTACCCTATGTGCTTTGAGGCCTCAGGGTATGGACCGTATCATACTACTGTTCTTTCCTCCATCAAACTCACTTCTTAGAGCTGTTATTTTGCTTGTTTGTATGTTACCAGGTGTTTTATTTGGAACACTGTATGTAGAAAGTAATATATGTTTATCTGTTTCTTGATCAGAAAATGAAAACTAGGTTAAGTGAATTAAGCCCAGGTTAAGTCAATGAATTGACTGTCAAGAGGGTTAGATAAGAGGACTGATTCATATGGTAGAACCAGTGCAAGAGCCAAGCCAGAATAGCTGTTCAAGGAATCCAGGGGTCAGATAAACAGCTGAGACACCGTCACCCAAGTGGTAAAAACGGATGTTATGAGGGAATAACAAAAAGGAATGATATTTTTTATTTACATTTTCAGCATAAGACCTGTAAAATCATTTTGGAATAAATTATAGTATTGAAATCAGTAATCAATTCAGTTTTAAATATAAGTCTATATTTTAAAAAAACTAAATCTTAATGAACAAGCTTTAAATGAATACAAGTACCACATTTTTATGAGGCTTAGGGTTTGTAACAAGTCAATTTTTAAATATGGATTTTCAAAATAATTATCACATGTAACAATCATATTTTTATTTAACTATTTTTTGCAATTTCTTTTTTTAATTTTGAACAAGTCTCACTATGTTGCCCGGGTTAGTCCTTGAATTCCCAAGCTCAAGGGATCCCCATCAGCAGCTGGGACCACAGGTGTACACCACTCCACCCAGCTTCAGCTATCTTTAAAAATATTATCAAATAATGATGGCAATGATAACAAGATGATATCCTTAGGCTCTTAAGCACGTAAAATAGTATATATTTTCTTTGAACAAACATTTAATTTTCCAAATAATCCAATAAAATGAAAGTACCTTTAAACTGCATTTCCCATTCTCGAACACTCTCCATTTGTACTGCATTCAAATCTGAGAGATCATCATATTCATCTCTAAGTGCATCTTTATCTAGGCAAAATGTTGCCAGTCCTCTGGAGGCATCCCTACCAGCAAATATTCCATATGGACCCGCTGGAAAAAAGAAAAAAAATGATTTAGATCACCTATTTTAGAATGTCTCAAAGGAACCACTCCCCCCCACAAAAAAAACCCTCATAATTCACATTTGGAATTGAAATTAGTATCCCTAATTTTAAAACATGGGTAGATACTAGATAAAATAATGAGAAAAAAATTTGTTGGAAATCTGCCTTTTGACCAAAGTAAAGCTTTTCACTTAGATTTTAAAACCCTCAATTTCAATTACTTCAGATACCCTCAAACTTATATTCAAAATGGACTGTGAGGTAATGAGGGAGAAGAAAAAACTTAAGTGGTTAGGTTTAGAAGCCAGTTTGCTTGAAGGGAAATAATGTTTACTGATTGCTGTTAATTAATAGTGGCATAAAAAAAAAAAGAACATCATTCATTGCGTAAAGACTCAGCTGAACTGTAAATCTATAAGATTTTTCTTTTTGCTATCCTTATGCAGGTTGTAATTCTATGAGAACAGAGACTATCATCTTTGTGGTCCCAGTGACTAGTTCAGTGCCCAACACGCATTTAATAAATCTGTGCCGAATGGTTTAATAAAAAAAGATCCACATTCAAAATAAATCATCTGACTATAACATATATACAATTATCTATATAAACCAAGAAAAGTTATGAAGGAAAATAACAGCTCCAGAGAACTAGAACTTACTGCAACCTCCAACTTTCCGGTTCAAGCAATTCTCCTGTCTCAGCCTCCCGAGTACCTGGGATTACGGGCACGCACCACCATGCCCAGATAATTTTTGTAGTTTTAGATGGGGTTTCACCATGGTGACCTGGATGAATAATTAGCATTTTATCCAAGGAATTAGGTACCATTCTCTCTGAGGAGAAATGGCACGACTGATGTGTTAACAGAAGGAAACCATTCCCAAGGTCTATCCTTGAGAGCAGCAATTCGTTCATTGCTATATCCTCAATGCCTAGGACTGTGCCTGGCATAAAGTAGGAACATAATAATTTTCTTCCAAATTACTTAGCTGTAGTTCCAAATAAAAAGAAACTCAAGATTCTGACCTTTTAAACAGATTCACTTATGGTAAGCAAAGACACTAGTATGAACAACAGAGTGGTGAAAGGAAGGCTTATAAATAAAAGAACAAAGTATATCCTGTTAAGTAAACAAGCAGAAAAAAACTAAAAATTCCTTGATTTTTAAATGAGTGAAATGATTATATTCATATGTAAAAGCATTTAGGAAATTGAAAGTTATGTGTCAAGAAGTCTCTGCACCTTCCGAAAGTAGATATCAAAGTTTCACTTAAATAGACATCTAAGCATTTATGAGTATTAATTTGAGTTGCTAACAGCATAGTACTATAAATTAATTCTCTGAAAAGTTTACTGCATGGAACTAGACAGAAGTAGCACTAGCAATAAATTTTAAAAGTAGCATTAATAGGTATTGATACAGTAACATGAAAATAAAGGTAACAGTTCCAGTAAAGTACATTTTTATTCTGCTTTTTTATTCTTATTGCATTTTTCCATACTGCTACTTAGTATCACATGACTATCAACAATTATTTATCAATGAATGGATGTGTACCTATAATTTATTTAATCAGCCTATTGACATGGGCCACCATTTTTTTACCTTTTTTTTTTTTTTTTTTTGTTTTTGAGACAGAGTCTCGCTGTTGTTACCCAGGCTGGAGTACAACAGCATGATCTCAGCTCACCGCAACCTCCGCCTCCTGGGTTCAAGCAATTCTCCTGCCTCAGCCTCCCGAGTAGCTGGGACTACAGGCGGGCGCCACCATGCCCAGGTAATTTTTGTATTTTTAGTAGAGACGGGCTTTCACCTTGTTGACCAGGATGGTCTCGATCTCTTGACCTCACGATCCACCCACCTCGGCCTCCCAAAGTGCTGGGATTATAGGCGTGAGCCACCGCACTCGGCCCATTTTTTTACTTTCAAATATGTCTTCTACATAAGATATGAAACACAATTTACCACTAGCCAATATTCATAACCTTCAAACTTTTCCCATCACCTCAAGTGACAAACAAAAGGGTATTAACCAGGCTGATGTGGTGGCTCAAGCCTGTAATCCCAGCACTCTGGGAGGCTGAGGCGGGTGGATCACTTGAGGTCAGGAGTTTGAGACTAGCCTGGCCAACATGGTGAAACCCTGTCTCTATTAAAATTACAAAAATTAGCTGGGGTGGTAGTACATGCCGGTAATCCCAGCTACTTGGGAATCTGAGGCAGGAGAATTGCTTGAACCCAGAAGGTGGTGGTTGCAGTAAGCTGAGATCACGCCACTGCACTACAGCGTGGGCGAAAGAGCAAGACTCCTTCTAAAAAAAAAGCAACCAAAAAAAGGGTATTAACCAGTTATGTCTGTGTGTGTGTGTGTGCGCGCACACATGTGCATGCAAAATTGTACACGCTTTGTGACAATGGGCATTTCCAGGAGAACAAGGAGAGAGACAGAGACAGAAATTAGCGTGATTAAAAAAAAATTTCCTGAGAAACAATGACAAAAAAACTACAAACATTATATTTAGTCTTAATGCTGAATGGACCAATGCTTATAAACTTAAAAAAGCAAAAAAGTGAAACACACAAAAGGAAAAATAAAACGAATAAAGGCTGTAACAATCTACAAATGGAAAATGATAGTTTCAATTTTTAAAAGAATTTTCCAGCAACCTCACTTTCCTCTCTCGGAGTTTCCCAAAGTGGAATGGACAGACTTTGCCTTCCCCACTTGGCAGATAAAAAACAGGAGCAGAGGCATTCAGTGTGATCTGCCTAAAATTACTGACAGAACCGGGCGTACTATTTCTACTTTCCTAAATCCTCCAAACAGTGCACCTCAAGAAAACACATAGAAGACTCACAAATGCAAAGATGGAGTAACAACTATGAAAACGAGCATTTACTATTTACAACATTTCAAGGGAATGAAAATTTGAGAATACTTATTAAATCAAAATGGAAGATAATTAACATAAAAGCTGTACAACAAGCTTTTCTTAGCATTCTATTATAGTATTTATCTCCATAGCCTGCAAACATTAATCTACTTTGGGTACTTCTGAGTATAAACCATAAAACATATTTAAATGATACAAAGGAGAAAAGATGAAATCATTATAAAAACAGCAATCAGAAAACCTTCCATGTTGAGTATATTAATATATACCAGTACATTCTCTAGTAAATTTCTCTACCAACTTCCCCAAGGAAGCTTCAACACTGAATGAATATAAAAACAAAACAAAATTTCATAAAATATGCTCTTTCTGGGGTACGGGGGGTGGGGAATGACTGACTTGATAGGAGTGAACTTGAGTCAACAGTTAATAATCCAAGCCAAAGTCTAGACAAATGATGTTCTGTTGGCTCGTGAATGGAAAAGAATAATTCAGTGATTAACATATTCCCCCACTCCCTAAACTATATTAAGCTGTCTTCTCCATATGTTTAGAATTTCCCTCAGGAAGCGTTTAACTTCTGCAAAGGTCTTTCTGTGCTCTTTCCTGTAAGACCATTGAACACATTTTTTTTTTTTGAGACAGGGTCTTACTTTGTCACCCAGGCTGGAGTACAGTGGCTCAGTCATGGCTCAACCATAGCTCACTGTAGCCTCTACCTCCTGGGCTCAAGTGATCCTCCTGCCTTAACCTCCCAAATAGCTGGTCATGGGCCTGGCTAATTTCTTTGATTTTTTTGTAGAGATGAAGTCTCATTATGTTGGCCAGCTGCTCTTGAACTCCTGGCCTCAAGCAATCCTCCCACCCTTGCCTCCCAAAGTCCTAGAATTATAGGCCTAAGCAACCATGCCCAGCTCCTCCTGTAAGGCTCTCAAGAATATAACACTAGGAACTAAAGTTGGAACTGGATAGGTTACTCTAAGGAAGAAGAATTTGAGGTCTACTGAAAGGATATTTCCCTGCATTCATAATACAACCAGAAGTGTATATGAAAAGTCATCAATATTTTTCCATTCCACTACCCCTTTACATAACAAACCTAAACGGTTACCAATTCTAGTATTTTGATAACTGTACTTGGCTATTCATAATACTAGAACAATAGGGAACTACCCAAATAAAACAAATTTGAAATGGTTTAAGTCTGCAGGCATGGTACAATTTATTTATTTTTATTATTATTTTGAGACAGAGCTTCATTTTGTTGCCCAGGCTGGAAGTGCAGTGATGTGATCTCAGCTCACTACAACCTCTACCTCCTGGGTTCAAGCAATTCTCCAGCCTCACTCAGCCTCCCGAGTAGCTGGGATTACTGGGTATACCACCACGCCTGGCAAATTTTTTGTATTTTTGGTAGAGAGGAGATTTCACCAGGCTGGTCTTGAACTCTTGACCTCAGGTGATGCACTTACTTTGACTTCCCACAGTGGGGGGTTACAGGCATGAGCCACTGTGTCTGGCCTAAAAAAGCTAGTTTATGTAAACTGATCTGGTTATTTTCTATTATTGAGGCTCATTTAGATACTAACAGTTCAGTAACAACCAGAATAATTAAATTGTTGCTTTATCAAATATTAAAATATGCTGATCCAAAAATAGATTGCCAATTTTAAGCAAATTCTTGCTACAAAAAATTAACAGCATTATTCAAAGCAGTTACTCTGAAATATAAACAAATATTCTGAAATATAACAAATATTCAAGGACATCATTTTAAAGATACATTTTATTTCAAAGCTTTTTGTTAAATATACCAACATGATAGTATACTAGTCAGAATTCAGATTTCATTTAGTTTTTTTTTTTTTTTTTGGGACAGAGTCTCACTCTTGTCACCCAGGCTGGAGTGCAATGGTGTAGTCTCAGCTCACTATAACCTCCACCTCTCCGGTTCAGGTGATTCTCCTGCCTCAGCCTCCCAAGTAGCTGGAACTACAGGTATATGCCACCACACCTGGCTAAATTTTTGTATTTTTAGTAGAGACGGCGTTTCACTATGTTGGCCAGGCTGGTCTTGAACATCTGACCTC